AGCGCTAAAAAATATAATGTAAAATCGTATTTACGATTAAGAGCGCTAATATAATATTTTACACAATAAAATGTTTTAATATTATATAATTTTTTACAACACCAATAAACTTCAAACGTTTGTGTATAGACTGTACAAAATAAATATATAGGATAGTGCTTATAACTCCATTATTACTAACAGGCAATTTATTAGTGTTATAAAACAACAGGATAATGCTTATAACTGTGTATGTTATGCATAAATTATTGTCGTGGTAAGACTGTTAAGGAATTAGCGGACTTTTTACATTGTTAACTTTAAAGGCTGTACAAATTGTGTGGAAACCGACAGTATAATACTTTATTCTTATCGAATGGCAAATGTTGCAGCATCTGGAAGCATCTTGTGCAACTCACTGCAGACAACAAAGTGACAGTTATAATTACAACCCATTACATAGAAGAGGCGAAACAGGCTGATATGGTGAGTGAGAAGTCTGCTTTGAAATTACATCCGTAACGTCTCATTATCGATCCACTCATCTAAATAATATTTAAAAATTCAGTTTCTACCTAAAAGGAAATAGTGCATCTCCATTACAGAGTGGTTAATGCTATTTAGGAAAATAATCGCCCTTTATCTTGAGCATCATTCGGAAACAATGAACAAATACAGAGTTAATCATCTACTGCGAAATGAAACCTTGTTTCAAAGCTGATAATCGTTTAGAAATTTAATTGTAACCTTTCCCTTTCAGGTTTCCCAGCCAACATTTTGTACGCATTTATTTCCTCCGTGAATCTTACATTCCCTGCCAATTCCATTCTCCCCGATTTCATCATCCGATTATTATATTGCGAAGATTACAAATCACGCAACTCCTCATTATGCAATATTCTCCAGCCTGCAGATAACTTAATCCCTCCTATGTCCAAATATTCTTCTAGAAAATAAACTTTTCTTAAATATATTTGCAATCGCCTTTTGATGAACGTATTTCTCTGCGAATCTTTATTTTGAGAAGCCTTTAGATAAGAAAGATTTATATTATTCTCCAGTTATCCACCTGACTTTCAATTTGTGAGATGAAATTTTTTAAAAATGTCGAAATAAATGCTCAGAGATTTAACACATTTTTATTTAAATTTAATTGCAGTGTTTGTACGTGCATTGAGTATGAAATCTTAAACAGCATGACAGATCATGAACGCTCAGGGTTCGGGACGTATAGGCCCCCCAAGAACTCAAATAACAACAATTTCTATTTTTAATGTTCGCAGATAGGTTTACTGAGGGGTGGTAAGCTGCTAGCAGAGAGCCCACCACGACAACTCATGTCTGCGTACAACACGTCAAGCTTGGAGGAAGTGTTTCTTGCCCTCAGTATAAAACAAGATGGAGCAGGGACTGAGATTCATCCCACGCACGTAAGAATATTTGTCAACCAGCTCGAATCCCTTGGTGATGGGTAAACAACTTAGAAAGGTTATTGTGCCCAAAAATATTGTACGGCTTATTTAGAGTACGACAGCTTTGATATAAATATTATTTATTCTTTATGGATAAACATATCAGAAATATGCATATGAATAAAAGTTTTATATTTTTTTGTTGGAAAGTTCGCAACTGACAGTTACAGAAATGTGCCTGTCTCCGTGTCTGTCCAGATGACCGTACATAACTCTCGAGAATCAGTGAACAGATTTTAGTGAAATTTGATTATCATGGCATTTCACTAAAAAATTTTGTTGACATGTTCCAAGTTAAGTTAAGATCAGATAATGTTAATGGTGTGTTATCACTTTCTGGATTATTTTAATTTTTACTCGAATATACAATACGTCAATAAAATCAGAACGACAAAAATGATAATAATCCTGAGATATCCAACTGCAGTTGCGTAAGGATGTATTTATCTGAGCATGGATAATAATTACTGTCTGTTTCAGGCAGACTCTCTGCTGGACAGTACCATGGATCAAGAGAAAAGAGTTCAAACACAACCTCACACCACTTTCAAATCCGTAAGTCAAAGCATGAGAATATCTGTCTAGTATTAAATTAAGTGCCGATCAGAGAAATCTAATTCTATCCGTTGCATCTTGCTTATAATTATGCAAACTACAACTGCACAGATAGAAAACAGCTGGTTCTTAAATAAAATCATCGTCATATTTTTTTGTTTAACCCCTTTGATCCTTTAAGATTACAAAATTTATAATTTGTACATTTATTCGGAGATCTTCGAACAATACAATTTTTTTTATGTGCAAAATGTCTTTCATCTTTCTATTTTTCACTATTATTAATAAAGTTATGTCCTCATATCCCCTAATCTTAAAGCTTTTTAAAAAAATTATTAAGCATGTTTCTTGTATTTTCATACCGTAATATACCCAACAACCTCACCCAATTCAATACAGGCTTCAATCTCTGAATTCAATACAAACTTCAATATCTGAATTCAATTCTGGCTTCAATCTCTGAATTCAATACAGGCTTCAATATCTGAATTCAATACAGGCTTCAATCTCTGAATTCAATACTCTCTGGAAATAAAAAAATGCACAAGGATTCGAATTGGGTTTTAACCTGAAATGCTTTGATTACCATCAGGTTCCCACTTAATTAAAATATTTTGAAATGATAATACGTAGTACTAATTTGGAAATTGTGAGATTCAATTACAACCCATCTTGAGATATTTTGCAAGACATGAAAGAAATATTAAAAAAAAAAATAGAAAAAAATGACGAAGCACTGAACACTACAGAATGCGTCAGTAGCACAGCTGATTTGTGAATCAAAAGTATAGAATTTATTTAATGATTTTACATTCAAGGTACATTAATTTGAAACACCATTCTAACCGTTTCAGAAAGAAAAAAGAAGGAATAAGTTCCAAACTTCTGCTTCAGGCCGAATGCGAGCCTTACTCATCAAGAATTTTAATAAGATTACTCGTCATTTAGGGTAAGCTAAACTGCAAATGCACTTTTTTTATACCCTTCATCTGAATCTTATTAAAGGAGTACCGTAATGTAATGTGAACGATTTCTACCAAATAAGATTTCCCAGTTCCCCAAACGACTGGAAATATGACCTTGGATATTAACGGCAAATTGTATTTTGTGTCTGAAGATTACTTCTATCAATATTTCCTTAAAAACTGTATCAGTTCATTTTGAATAGCTCGTCTACAGTTATAAAACGCAAATATAAACAAGCACATTACAATATATTGTAACTATCATGCTGAATTTAATAGATTTGTGTAATAAAATTTGCCTATAATTTATTTCCAAAAATTAATATTCTGATGTGAAAATTTTCTGTTAGCTAATGAATTCCTCAGGTGATAAACAGCATGACATGTTCAAATTTACATCTGAGTCACTTTTTCAGCATTTCCTAATTTGACATCACATTAATTAACTGTTACGTGAATTTGATATATCATAAATATTTCTGTACTCCAACATCCTCATGTTTACTCCTAATTGTACTAACACAATTGATTTCTTAGGGGGATGTTCTTCATCTTTGGATTCCCCATACTAGAAGTACTTGTTTTCTTCCTTGCAATTGGTGGAGATCCTAAAGGACTCAGGGTGGCAGTAGTGGATGAAGAATTAGGAAACTTTACTGACTGCAAGGAATACAGTCTTTTCAACCCCACTGAACCCATACTCCACAGAGATGAAACATGTGACTACCGTGGCCTCAGCTGCAACTATCTTAACCGCATCAACGAAACGAAGGTAGATTATCACAGCGAAGAACCACAGCTTAGGTTAAGTGATATGAAATATCAGCCAGTCCATAAGAAACTCCCAAGTCAACAACTGTTATTTTTATACGACGTAAAATTTAAAACAGGTAACAACGAGAATTTAAAATCCACTTTATCGATATAGAATACAATTAAAATAATCGAAGAACACAGCAAGAAAATCAGTAACAGAAATTATAAAAAAAAAAATCACAAAATTTTAATGAAGCCAGTAGTTTTATAATTAAGACGTACAAAGTCCAAAAGCAATTTTTCCACGTTAGAGTAACGTAAAGTTTGCTGTTTTACAAATGTAAAACTAAGAGTCTTCTACATGTTTTATGAAACACTCAGGTATATTATAATGACAAAGAAACTGCCATGGAGTCTGTGAAGAAGGGACTTACGACTGGAATGCTGCATTTCCATAGTAACTTCAGCAAGGAACTGCAGTTACGTATCGATAAGGGAAGGAGTGCGTCAAATGCAACGATTGAAGACAGCGAGTTAGCGGTGCACCTTGACATGTCAAGTATGTTGGCACACAAGAATATTTACAAGTATAAAATATTAAAATGTCAACACTAATAGGTGTGCCTTGATTTTCTGGTGGGGCACATCTACAGTAAAATGTTAAATATTTTTTTTACAAATTCTAGTCAATTTAAATATTATCAGATGCGAGTATAACTTGGTCTAGTATCAGCGAAACCAACATTATTAATAAGAATTTTTATTTCATTTCAAGAACACGTATACTGAAATATGTTTTTTGTACGTTTATGAATATTAGAAAGTTTTATAAATTAATGGAAATATGTTAAATATCAGATTGACAAATATTTTGTTTGGTCATATTCATCTTAAGAAGTAGGGCCCTAGTGAAAATACCACATCAAACGAGCTTTATCTGCAGAGGCCTCTTCCTTGCCTCAACACAATCCCAACAAACAATAGACGATTATTTCTCATATGTGAATTAGTGTATCTAAAAACAATTGGTACTTGTGGGTTATCGGGACACATCGCTTTAAAAATAGGTTAGGTTAGGTTAGGTTAGGTTAGCTTAGGTTAGGTTAGGTTAGCTTAGCTTAGGTTAGGTTAGGTTAGCTTAGGTTAGGTTAGCTTAGGTTAATGTGTGTGGATAAATGATATATACTTGAAAGTTATTATATTTTATTTTATTAAATGACAACTAACCTAACCTAACTTAACCTAACCTAATTTTAAAGCGATGTGTCCCGATAATCCACAAGTACCAAACAATTAATTTCAGGCATTTGTATCATAAAAAATCTGCATATTAACATGAAACATCTACTGTTAGGCGATGGAAATTTTCACTTATCCTAATGAACTGTTGCAGATCGTCAGATTGCACTATTTTTGGAAAGAAATCTATTCCAAGCCTACCTCGATCTAGCACGTGATGTCATGCTAGCATGCAACCAAAGTGTAAAACTGGCAGATATTCCAATGCAGGTAAATGCGTATGTTATTGCATCAGATTAAAATCTATCTTTATTTGCATAATATCATTTTTCACTTTCAATGGACGTGTTTCATATTTTTACCAACAGTTCAACGATCCAGTGTTCGGTATGAATAATGAGAACTACGCAGTGTTCATGACACCTGGTCTTATAATGTCGTAAGTGAAATCTTATATAAACAACATATATTTATTCTGTACATATTTATAATTGAAGTATATACTATATTATATATTATATTTCCAGGATGATATACTTCCTTGCTACCAGCCTGACATCGGCTATACTCGTTGCAGAGCGAAATGAAGGAGTGTGGGATCGTAGCATTGTCGCTGGTACGTATTAGAGCTACGCCCGACTATTATCGAGAAGGATTACCTTTCACAACATCCAAAAAAATCCCACAGCAAAATTTTGTAACTTCAAAGTACTGATTAATAATGAGGTATACACATTTAAAAAAAAATTATTTTGAATAAATTAAATATCGTATAAAAATTATTGTCAATGGAAATACTAACTAAGAACTTGTTATTTTCTACGTTGCAAATAATTTCACAACTTTGCTGTCTTATAACTAATTTATCTTTGTATTTGAACTGTTAGTAATATAATTTCTGTCGGACAATTAGTTTGTTCAAAACAAATTTATAAAAGTGTATGCCTCGTAACCTTATACATGACATGTCATTATAGCGATGTTCTACAAGAGATTTCATCATGTCATAAGGTGTACCTTTTCTCGGTAGTGTTAATTTATGTTCGTCACCTACGTAAAAAAATAAATAAATTTGGTGTTCAAGTACTCTGGCTTAGAGACATATGGAGGCAAATCTTAACAAATTATTAATCTTGGCACTACAAGGAGGGAAGCAATAAATTTCACGATCCCATTTCTGAATCCAACAGAAAAGATTACACGTTTTTTTCTCAATTTGATTCAAGATAAGAATTAAAAAACAGAAAAAATTGTGTTAGAAATTAATTTTAAGTGCCCTGCTGCAATGGGTGATTTTTTTGCATTCAGAAAAATTTAAACTGCTGTGTGATCATTTCACGTAATATTTTTGCAGGTGTCACAGCAACCGAAATATTGATATCACACATCATTTCACAGATGGTTTGCATGTTGCTGCAAACTGCTATAGTATTGATATTGGTCTTCTTGGCATTTCATGTGCCATGTGAAGGAAGTATGGCTACTGTAATAGGACTTGTCGCTCTTCAAGGGTTCTGCGGCATGTGTTTCGGTAAGGAAATGAAAAATCTATTCTTGTTTTTTTTCTCTCCAAAGGTGTCGTTTACAGTATTAATCTTTTCTATTCAATTTTACTACTGTCCTTTAAAAAAGCATCTGTTGAAGAAAGAAAGAAAAGAAAAGTCCCTTAACATAAATGCACGTATCTCGTTCATAAGTGTCCGGATACTTCGGTGCAATTGTTCTTAAGAAAAAAAACAAAAAAAATTCCACAAAAACACATTGTTTCAACCAGTGAAATTTCCATTCTTTCAATAACCTTTGTATACATAGTATCAAAAAAATTGTTTTAAAATGTTTAAATTTTTATCTTCCTTATGTATTTTGGTTTCAGATTAGGCCCCAAGTTAAATTTTTCCAATATTCTCTAGAATCTACGTAAATATCATTTATACAATTTTCTTAAACACCGTACTGTATTAGTTTTTTTAAAAAAATATTTTGGTTTTTATGTTCCACAATACCATTACGTGAAGAAATTCAAACAGTCTGACGTTTTTCATTACTGAAAAAAAAAATCTACTTGTTGCACTGGAGAATCTCTATCCTAAAATGTCCAGTCCATTTCCCTTAAATCTCAATATTTTCGTGTCGAAGTACGACTATATTGCTAGCACTGTGAAAAATTATAATATCATCGTCACATCACCTATTTCTCAGATGTAACATTTCAAAAATTAAGCTGTAATTTCTATTTCAGGTTTCCTGGTTTCGGCATTATGCGACAACTTAACGACGGCCAATTACTTGGCTCTTGGCAGCTTCTATCCCTACATATTTTTATGTGGTATGTAAATATTATTATTTTCTAATGACAGGTACATTGATTTTATATAACTGACCTAAATACAACCTTTAGACACAATTTTTAAAATCTACAAAATAAGACAAAGAGATGAAACATAATAATAACTCAATGGTATGTACGTAAATATGTTTCTGACAAAAACTGTTACATTATCTTCGTAATAATGACATAGTGCCTGAAATTTATCTATATTCTTCACTAAAATTTCACCAAACATAAGCATAACTGCAGAATCCATATAAAATGTATGTTTATTTAGCGTATTTTATATGTAATACATTCCATACGCACAGATGTGTAAGCAATAAAAATGCAAAATCCTTCCCATGCCGGTTGTTAAAGAAATAATCTGTTGGTACATTTCTATGTTAACAAGAAATTTATGTTGTTCGAAAGTAAAAATTAAGTCCAACTACAACCGATTTAAAAACACATAAGAATTTCCCCTTCAGCTTGACTGTCACATATATCTCATAAAAATAAGCGAAACAGGAATCCGGTGACGTCAGTAGACTCTTCAATTTACGAAACAAATTTCTGACTGATTTTAATCCATTTCACTAATTCGTATTCGATAAATCTCATTATCGATTCTTATCGAAAGTACATAATTTTGAAATGTAACCCTTTTTTATTAACGTTGGGTGGTCATCAACAGTAATTCAAAACGCACGAAACTCTCTTCTACAAATGGTGTGATGAGATTTTCGAAAATCGTACGAGCATCACAGGAACGAACGACACGATAGGGAAATTCAATTTTTTTTTTTTTGGAGGTAGCACAGAATCACATTTTGTCAGAGGTCAAGGTACAAAGAACTTGGAGTATGGATAATTATCACAACTCTAGAAAACTGAGAGATTCCACCCGTCATTCATAACACATCTAAACTCAAAAAATTAAATATAAGACGAAAGGTTAAAACGAAAACAGAACGTTAACCTCACTCATATTATCGACTCGACCACACGACCTGAATCGCTGACCAGAACCAAAACGTGAGATTGGTGTTTTCAGCGTGGCGTCCACTGGGACTGTTCTGAGCCACTCGTACCTCACGCAATTTGCTATGATTTGAGTATATATATATAAAATTTAAATTTTCAGATATATTAGCCATGTTTATTACAAGCAGTGTGCAATGTACACACTGCTTCTGTTTTAAGAAATTTTCATGCACTCACCATAGTTTTGTTGTTTGTGACAGGAATGTTGTGGCCCCTTGAAGGTATGCCAGCTTTCCTGCGAACATTCGCCCTGTGTCTTCCAGGCACGATCCCCATTGTGTCAATGCACGATATCCTGAGAAGAGGGAAAGGCATATTAGAATCTCAAGTGTACATTGGGTTCCTGATAACCATAGCTTGGATTTTCATCGAGTGTGGAGCGTGTGTCGCCATACTAAAGTTTAAAAGCAAGAGAACTTGAATTTCTATGAATTGTATGAGAGTTTTTTTATATAGACTGTTAACGAAGTACTTTAGAGATACTTGTAACTAGAAATTAAGTTTACATTCACTAGCTGAAAGCAAAACAAAGTTCAAAATGTTATCTAAAATGCATTTGGAAAATAAAACATTACACCTCCAAATATGTTCCACGTTCTGACTTGTCATTCACACATCAAATCATTATATTACAATTACTAAAAGGTACTCTTCAAAATGAAAAGAATTGGCAATGCAATGCCATTAAATTATACAAAACAAAGGAATTCGCGCAGAAAATCATGAGCAGTGGTACCATAATTCTACTTCACAAATTCAAGCAACCGTCACGTTGGTATTAAGATTACAGGAAGGTATAAAGCATAAGATTGGTAACGTTTTATATGCCATTACGCCGAAACCAAATTTAGTCTAATTCCTTCTAGCAATCCTGTAGTTATTGAATGTGTAAAGACTGATAGTATGTGTAATTTAATTCAGCAACATGTTTCGTCCTCATGTGACCATCTTCGATTAATAATGGTATTTAAATAGAACCCAACACTACCATCGCATTATTTTGTCATTACAATAAAATCACAAACATATTGATGAATGTAGTTGACTTACGTGACGGACTGACTCACAGACAGGTTTCTCGTTAACAGCAAAAAAGACCATTTATTATGAACGCTAAGCAACGTCAAATCCTAATTGGTTCCCAAACTCATCAAGTAAGAAAAAAAAAAAAGATTTCCATATTTGGGATTACGAAGAAGATTAATTTAACAAATACGAAACAATATAAGAACCAAGTTATCTCCAGCAAGCATAATAGAAAATTTAAGAATCGTGTCTGTCACTTCATTTCTACTAATAAAATTACACACTTACTATGTACTGAGTGTCATTCAGTCTCGGACTTGCATAACTCGTGGTAAAAATCCACATGTTACATTAGTCAGATGGTGAACACAGGGAAAAAATTAGCTGCACCTCAAAATTGAGATTTTTAGTGGAAATTGTAAATAGAAAATTCAAAGAACAATTTACCTTTCATATAATTTGTGTGCTTTATAAATCGGTTCAAAGTATATAAAATATTCAACACACTTAATATTACACTTCATTTCATTTATTCCTTCCATATAAGTATCATGCACAAAAGAAAATCTGCTTTCAATTTTAAAAAAAAAGGCTTTCTTACGAGGTAGCGATCTGAATATGAAGGTAGAAATACATATAATTCCAGTGCTCGTGTGTGTGTTTCTGAATCAATTGGTGCAGATATCAGGAGAAACTCAGCATCACCTTTTACAATGTCTGCACGACATTGCCACAAGACACTTCACACTGGTTAGTACTACGATAGTCTCAGACAACGAATTTCCGTACAAACCCTGCAATGTTTCGGGCACTTTTAAGACGACCATGTTTTCTGACCCAATCTTTGAAACAGATATGATTCTGCGACAGCTCTTTAAATCTGAAGAATGCGATTTACTATATTTTCACGAAAATGACGGAGACAGAATTAACCCCTTGCCAAACAAAAACCACGGAAACTATATAATTACGTCATCTTATTGTGAGCATCAACATTTGCTGAAGGACATCGTTCAACAAATATCAAGGCTTCACGAGACCAGACATTTGAATTCTCGAGCAAAATTTGTGATTGTGTCTGCACGTGCCCATGGTAACTTATACAACTTTGCGTCAGATTTGTTCGCTGAACTTTGGAAATGGAAAATAATGAACGCGATTCTCGTAGCCCCCACATCAGAAACAAGCAACGCCGAAGAACCAGACGTTGTTCCAGTATTTGACATTTACACCTGGTTTCCGTATGACCCTCCAGGTCACTGCAGTGACGTCAGAGATACTGTTCTACTGGATCGGTGGGTGTCAGGCGACAAAGGACCCGGCAGATTCCTTTACAACGCGTCACTATTTCCATCGAAAATTCCTCGCAACTTTCATGGCTGCGAAATTAGAGTTTCGACGTTTGAATACATGCCTTTTGTTGGTAGAAAAAAGACAACTAAAAGTGATCCTAACAAAGTAAATTTTGATGAAGGATTAGAAATACGACTTCTGAAACTTGTCAGTGAGAAGAAAAATATTTCTTTAAAACTCCTTGATCTTCCAGCGGACGGGGGGAGGTGGGGGTTAAAATTAGGAAACGGGACTTGGACCGGGGTGACCGGAGAAGTTATCAGAAGTTTCTCCGACATTGGTTCGGGCAACTGGTGGAACAGATGTCATCTGATAGAAGAAGTCGAGTGTCCAATACAGTACACAGTCGATCAAGTAAGATGGTACGTTCCTTGTGCAAAACCCTACCCTCGATGGATGAGCATCGCTAGAGTTTTCAAACTGTCTCTCTGGCTTGGGTTCCTATCATCCTACGTCGTGGTTGGTATTTCCATGTGGTTTATCGTTAAAATCAGCAACAGCATCTCTACAGTACCAATAGAGAATCAAGCATACACCAGCTTAGTGAAATGTCTTCTAAATTTTTGGGCAATCATCCTGGAAGAATCCGCTTCCAACAACCCTCCTCACGTAGCTGTCATCAGACTCGTATTCTTCATGTGGGTTTTATACTGCTGGGCTGTGAACACAGTCTACCAGACTTACATGACCTCCTTCTTGATTGATCCGGGTCTTCAACACCAGATATCTTCAGAGAACGAGCTCCTTGAATCGGGAATTGGTTTGGGGATACCAGAAACAGTTTTGTCAGTCATTCCTGGCGTAACAGACGGACGTTATCGGCGACATGACAGCTGTTACGATGTAACCGTGTGTCAAGACAGGATGGCTTTTGTGGGTGACATGGCATTTTTCTTCTCCAAGTACAATATGGAATACTTTATTGCTGCTAAATATGTGGATGGTGACAGTAATGATCTGGTCTGTAAATTTGACGAAATATATTGCATACAGCTTGCGATATTACCGGTTCCAAAAGGTTCCCAGTTCTTAGAGATATTCAACGAAATCATCATTTACTTGCAGCAAAGTGGGATCAGAGAGTATTGGTGGAAAGATATCCAGTACATTGCTACACTGGATTTAGCCTCTGAAATCAGCCTGCCCCCTGGAGAATATATCAAGCTCACGTTAGAGCACCTGCAATCAGCCTTTTATTTCCTATTTTTGGGAATCATCTTCTCCATAGTTGCTTTTCTCTCAGAAATATTTTGTCGCCCCAAGTGAACTGTTACTGAGCATGTTAATTTGTCACTGTTTACTTAACAATGCTTTAATTAGGTAAGATTATCCAGTGTCTAATGACAGGATTATTAATAAATAACGAATGGGGAAAGGGTATGGAATGATCTATCGTGGTCTGATTTGATTCATAAACAAGAAATTTGCGTAAGCGACTACGAAAACCAACAAAACAGCTCGATCAAGATGGCCGATTTCCGGAATACTGAGCACAACGCTCGATCAAATGGATTAGCAACAGTGATTATACATTGTAAACCAAGAATAAAACATTTATCATAAATAATTATAAAAATCAATAAAATATACCTCAAAGAATTCACCGTGTCACAATGCTGGTGTTTTCACACAAAACTTTTATAAAGTACTTTATGGAAACAATGATCTGCACTCGATTGTCACTTTATAATTTCCAGTGTTCAATATATTTGCACTGTTAAACTATTAATTCACAAGCCTACCGCATGACCCGTCAAAGTTGACAAGTATTAACCACTTTGTGTTGAACAGCAATGCAGTCTACTGCGATATTATCTTTACAAATCGCACTCAAATAGCGACATTTTTAAAAAAATGTTAAAAATTAAATTAAATTTGAAAAGGCTACGATTGAAGCTAGGCCTCATTTACATTTCTTGGTGCCAGAGTCGCCACCGTCAGAACTGAATAAAATTGTCTCTACGTCCAACGAATGGCACACTGTCAGACGTGAGAACCTCAAATCCCACAATCTTCATCCAGAATATCACGTGTCTCTATGAAGAGAGGCACGTGATATTCCTACCCCAAACACCCTTAACTTTTACGTAAGTCATTCATTATCTGTTCGCCAAAATACCAAACTTAAACGACTTTTTGTATCGTTTTCAGGAGTAAAAATACTATTGTGAATATCGCTGTATCATATACATGTGACGATTCTGCATTGTACTGAAAACGAACCGGGAAATTTTTGAGAGAAAATTTCCTTAGTCCTTTTGGAGTATAAAATAAGCTATTCACTATGTTTCATTTCCCTAACACTGGTGCTGTGTGTTTGAATATCGTACACGGCATGAAATTTTGGTTCTTTTGATAGCACAGGCTTTGCGGTGTTCCGAACACCCACCCTTACAGTTCCACCGAATGTCCAACACAGAGGTTTTCAACTCGCAGCCTGTCTGTGTGTTTGGTGTGGACGTTTTA